CCAGAAAGAAAAACTGAAATTCCCAGGACGGTAATAACGTAGAATGAGACAGAAGACCCCTCTTCTCCCTCTTAGTTTTCCTGCTCCTCGTCCACATCCATTTCCCCTTACCCCTCGGAAAAGGAAAAAAAAAATTTTTTTTTTTCCCAATTCAAATGTGGGCACCATTTTATCCAAAAGTTTTTTTTTTTTTTCCTTTTGGCAATCGAAATAACAATTTACAAATCTGGGGATTGGGGGCGAGGGAAGGACAAAAAAAAATTCGATCGCCATTTTTTTTTTTTTGTTAAAATTTCCCTTTTCCAGAATTTAAAAAAAAAAAAAAAAAATTTTTTTTGGCGCTTTTTTCAATGAGATTCTACAAAAAAAAAATTAATTTAAAATAATAATAATAATAATAATGATAATTAATAAATGTGTCAATGGTTTTAAATAATCATTATCGATTCGATAATCATTTATTTATCGTTTCGATATCGAAAAGTTTTAATAACGAGGGGGAGAAGGAGGAGGAGAAAAATTCGTCTATTTCTAAATTCGTTCGCGACCGATATTTTACCATTTCCGGTAAATATCAAACCGGACATTTAGTCTTTGTAAAACGATTTTAAATTTATAATTTTATATTTATAAAATTTCTTCGCCATTTTTATTTTTAATGTTTTTTTTTTGGAAAAATTTAAATATTTTTTTTTTGTTCTCACTATGATGAACGACATGTATTCTTTTTGAAAAGAAAGACGCCATCATACGCATTTAAACAAAAAAAAAAAAAAACGGATTTAAAGATTTACTTTTAATGGCGAAAGCTCAATAACGAATATCCTCTATTTAAATGACAGCCATATTTATTTTAGTTTTTTTTTTTTTTGTGGGGAGGTTTTTTTATTCAAACATTAAAATAAGAAATAATGTCTCCATCTATTTCACTTTACTATACGGAGTCTGATATAAATACAGCATCATCTCATGAATAATTTTTTTATAGAAAAAAAAAAAAAAGAAAAAAGAAAAGGAGGAAAAAGAAAAGCAGCATCCAAAAAGTATATACATTGTCGTAAGCTAAAAGAAGCAGACGACCCGAAAAAAAAAAAGAAAGAAAAAAAAGGAAAGTTTTTAGTGGATATAAATAAGGATGGATAGATGTACGAAAGGGATGTAATAAAAAAAGATAAAACATCGGCCCTTTATATATATATTTTTTTTTTGTGAAGCAGAAGATAAAAGTCTGACATATATGTGTGTGTATGTGTTTATACGTAGGAACCCGCGCACACGCACATACGGAGACACGAACGCACGCACGCACGCACGCACGAAAGGTTACAAAAGAAAAAAATTAAGAGAACAAGATGAAATTTTTCTAAAAAATTTTTACCCCCCCCTTCCGCGCCATTTTAATTGTAAGAGTTTACGAAAAGAGTTGAAAACGTTTTTTTTTTTTTTTTTTTTTTTTTTTTTTATAAAAACGTTTATTTTTCGTGAAAATTTTTTAGACTCCATGGAAAAGTATATTTAATCCCGGTTAAAGACACAAGAAAAGAAAATGGCGGATCCGGTAGATTTTAGTCTTTAATTTGTAAAGCCTCGGGACAAAAATAAAATTTTTGGCCAAGACCGAAAATTACATTTGAAAATCCTTGATTATTTATTTTTGTTTCGTTAACAAACGTTTCCTTTTCCGGATTTTATTTTGATTTAAAAATTTTTTCTTTTTTTTCTTTTTCCCTTTTTACTCTTCCTCCCCGTCCCGCCCAATTTTTTTTTTTTTCGTTCAATTATTTATTTTTTTTGATTTTTAAACATAAAATTGATCGATCGATCGATCGATCGATTTCATAAAAATCGTAAAAAAAAAATTTTTTTTTTTTCTAAATTCAAGTCAGATAATTTTAACAACATTGATATTATTATTATTATTATTATTATTATTATTATTATTATTATTATTATTATTATTATTATTTACTAACACGCGCGTAATTTCGTAAAACCGTTGAACCGTTTGAATTTGTTTTTTGTTTCGTTCGGTTGTTGTTTTTATTAATAATTTTTTATAAATAATTTTTGATATGTTTACGGATGGTGCAAAAAAAAAACAAACAACACGGGTTGTTGCACGATATTTAAATAAAAAAAAAGAAACAAAATAATAATAATAATTTTCACGCTTTTACAAAAAGATTTTCGATTGTGCGCCATGATTAACAAAAAATAATTTCGATCGTTTTTTTTTTTTTTTTGAAGTTGGTAAAACGGTTCGAAAATCTCTTCATCATCGAACTCAATTTTCTCAACTCAATCAATTGTTTACCAAAGTTAAAATTTAGCTAAAGTAGAAGAAGAATGATGAGTTTATTTTTTTTTTTTTTTTGCGGCGGTGGTGGTGGTGGTACTAGTGGTACGAGAGGAAATCGGGTAATGAACGGAAAATAAATCCAAATCGATGATGTTTTTTTTCGAAAGTGACCATGAAAATGGTGATGGTATTAGATTTATGAGTAAATGAATTTTTTTTTTTTAATAGTTACGGTTCACGTGAGATTTCAGGTACTGAAAACCAAAAAAAAAAAAATAATGAAAAAAACATAAAACGTATATACGCGATCACGCACAAATGAATATTTACTCAAAATTATGAAAAAGAGAGAGAGAGAGAGAGAGAGAGAGACGTGGAAACCATCAAGTAACATTATTAATGGACCTGGAATAAAATCTACTATGAAAGTTTCCATTTTAGAAATCCCATTTTATCCTGGGCTCAATGAAATTCATATAGATTTATAGCTTGATATAGCACACGGACGACTAACTATTTTTTTTTTTCGTCTGTTTCCAGTTTTTGCCCCCCGCTCCCCCTTCCCCCTCTCCGCACGTTTTTCTTGTAATTTTTATTATTTATTAACTCTACTCCCTCCCACACTCCCTTCTAACTTCCCTCCTTTTTCCCTCCCTACATTTCTCTCTTCACTTTCTTGAAACGAAAAAATTTTTTTTTTTTTTTAAATTCTAAATTTTAAAAACCTAAAAATTCAATTATAAAAATTTTCCCGCCATTTATGATTTGAAAAAAAAAAAGAAAGAAAATTTCACATTCAATTTCATTCCCTTTTATCAGTTAATAAAATTTCAAACAATATTAAAAAAGAAATAATAATAATAATAATATTTAAAATGGATAAAGATTGTCTTTCGTGGCAATAAAATAACAAGGAAGAATTTTTTCTTTATACCTAAGGGTTTTTTCCTTTCATTCGAGGGGTTGATTTTCTAAGAAATTTCCAGAAAATAAAATGAAAAAGAAAAAGGGAAAAAAGAAAATAAAATGAAAAAGAAAAAGGGAAAAAAGAAAATAAAATGAAAAAGAAAAAGGAAAAAAAGAAAAGAAAAGAAAAAGAAAAAAATTCCAATTACATTTTTCTACGTTTGCTCCAGTACCATTATTAAAATCGCACATGGGTTGTTCTCCCGCGTTCGGTGAAATATATATAAGAAAAAAAAGGAGGTGGGGGAAGGGATGCTGGAACACTCCAGATTGGGGTCTTTTGAAAAAAAAAAAAAAAAGAATAAGCTAACCAAGCAATCATCCATCAAAACGTTTTTTTTCTTTTTCCTTCTTTTGTCGTAAATTTAAAACACATTCCCTGTTTTTTTCTGTTTCTTTTTTCCTTTTTCTTCCTCATCCCCCTGAAAAGGATTGTTTAAAATCATCCCTTTATTCTGGAATAATTTAAATAACCAACCCGGAAACCTTCTTTTTTTTCTTCATTCCTATCCCCTCCCTCCCCCCGAACTCCTTCTTTTTTTCTCCAGTACTTTTCTGAAAATCACGAAAAAAAAGAAAAACTATAAAGTTTTCATTACATCGTCTTCTGCTATCTATCTTCATTATCTTTCTTCTCCCTATCTACCTGAACGATAAACAAAAATACTGATCAAAAGTTTTGGTCTGAGAGTTAGAGAAAGAAAGAGAGAGAGAATGAGTGAGAGAGAAAGAGAGTAGATAAAAAAAAATTTATTAATTTTTCTTTACGTATTATGAATGCCTAACGTCTTAATTTATTATTAATGTATAAAAAATTAACGTTATTATTATTATTATTATTATTAATATCATTATTATTATTATTATTAATCCGTAATAATTTTTTTATGGATTTCGTTCCTTTTTTTTTTTTGTTGTTTGAAATAAAAAAAATTAAATTTTTTTTCTCAAGATTATCGAGGAAAGAGAGAGAGGAAGAGAGAGAGAGAGACATTGATTTATATTTTTCATGTCATGTGTAAAAGATAAATTACCTAGATGGAAAAAAAAATGGTGACACGTTTTAAAATAATAATAATAATACAGGGAGAGAGAGAGAAAGAGAAAAGGCTTTTAAAATTAAAAAAAAAAAGAAAAAAAAAAGGAAAAAAATCGCCCTATCGTGGACCAGAATATTCTAGAACATTGTCACGCGATAAATCAAATTATAATATATATATACAAAATGGTAATGATGATGATGATAATAATAATAATATTAATCATCTACGTATATAAATAAATAACGTGGAAGGAGTTTATTTACATTGCGTATAAAAAACAAAAATTAATAATTTTTTTCTTTTTCTTTCTTTTTATCATTATTATTATTATTATTATTATTATTATTATTATTATTATTATTATTATTATTTTAACGACGGAAAACGATTAATTAAAATTTTTTAAAAGTATTAATTGTAAGTTTAAATAATAATAATAATAATAAATATCAAAGGAAAATTTTTAATGTGTTTTTCCAAAAAAAAAGAATTTCCATTGAAAAAAAAAAGGAAAAAAAAAGAAAGAAATAAAAAAAAATTTCTGCGCGTAAAAATGCGGAGTGTGCGCAAAAGGGGGGTTGAAAAAAAAAAAAAATTCCATTTTTTTCTCTTTCTCTTTCTCTCTCTTTCTCACTCTTGCTCTCGCAAGTAGCAGTAGATCTCCATCCATTCTCTCTCTTTCTCTCTCCCCCTCATTCTTCTTCCCCGATTTCCTTCCCTTCTCGACACGCCGCCACAACAATATTTATTATTTCTTTGTATTTTTGGGCTCTTGTTAAATCTGAGTAGGCGGTTTTTAACCTGAGCTGCGGTTTTACCTGGATTTTCCATTTTCCTTTTTTTTTCCTCCTTCTCTCTCTCCCCCTCTTTCTATCTCTTTCTCCGTTTCATTCCACTCCATTTTTTATTTTTATTTTTTATTTATACTACTTCCTATTTTTCGTTAATTACTTTGTTTCGCATCGTCGTAACTCATTAATTAATAATAATAATAATAACAATAATTAATTATTTTATAATTTTTTTATTTTTTATTCCAAAAAGTATTAAACGCATTTTTTTTTATTCTTTCGTTATCATTATTATCATTTATTTATTTATTAAAATGTAGGTTAAGTAGAAAAGTACTCGCGAAAAAATGGGTCGGTGGAAAGGAGGAGGGGGAGGAGGAAGGGAAGAGAAAAAAAAAGAAGTTTGACTTAAAATAATAATATATATAACGGTCGGTAATCGTTAAGAAGCCATTTTGTTTGCTCATGCGTAGTTAAATACTATTCATAGAACATTCGAACCACCCTCTATCAAAGATGATAAAGTGTCCTCCATCTTTATGGCCACTCAATTTTTATCCAGCGCGTAAAAGTTATAAATTTTTTTTTTTTTTTTTTTTTTATCTGGAACGAGATTCATAAAAGAAATTATTATTAATTGCTCTTTCATTTTTTTTTTTTTTTTTTTTTTTTTTTATGGAAAGAATTTTAAAATTTGAAACGCAATCAAAAGTTTTTTCTCTCTCTCTCTCTCTTTCTCTTTTTTTCTTCTTCAGTTTTATTGGTATTTTCATCTTTTCCAGTTTCTTTTATGTATTTAATGGCGTAAATATTATTATTATTATTTTGTTTTGAAAAATAAATAAAAAAAAATTTCGGGAAAAGAAAAAAAAAAAAAAAAATTATAGGAATTTTAATTTCGATTTTTTTTTGTTTTCCGGGACTGGAGAAAAAAAAAAGTTGATTGCATTTTAATGTGATTTTTTTTGAAAAAAAAGAACGTCAACGCTGCTGCCATTGTTGCCAAGTCGAAGAAAAATTAAAATACGTATATTTATTTATTTTTTTTTTTTTTGTTCTCCCCGTTCCTGGAGAAAATTTATTTAAATTTTTACCTCGTTCAAGTTGAGAAACAAAAGCATCTCACGTATATATATTTTACTGGAGAAAAAAAAATTTTTTTTTTTTTTTAAAAAACAAAAAAACGTAAAATGAAATGGAATGTAGAAAAAGAAAAAGAAAAGAAGAAGGAAAATTTTTTTTTTTTTATTTTATTTTCGAGAGGTTGAAAAAAAAAAGAAAATTCTGGAAACTGGAGAAAAAAACTAAAAAAATTTTTCATCACGAAAAGGATTTTTTTTTCTTTTTTCCAATATTTTATATTCAATGTAATTTTTTAAAACGTAAAATCGATATTTTGATTTATCGTTTTTTTTTTGTCCGTTTTGGAAATTTCTTTTTTTTTTCTGGAGAGTTTTACTACTAGAATTACGTCTTTTGCTTTTTTATTTTATTTTTTTTATCGATATCAGTGCCATCGAATTTTTTTTTTTTTTTCTTTCGATTTTTTTCAAATCTTTTTCGTCTTTATTTTGCGTGAATATTTTTCCCGCTGGAAAATTCTAAAATTTATTTTCCCCCGCCTCCCCCGCGATATCCGAGGATTACTTTTAACTTTTCCATTCTCAATCCGGTAACCGAATTAAAATATTTATATTTCCTCTCCCCCCCTCCAAAAAAAAAAAAAAAAAAAAAAAAACGTTTTTTTGTCGCTTCTGGAGTCGCCATTTTCTTTTATTTTTTCGTTTCCGTAATTTAAAAATTTTTTAAATCTCTTTTTCGAATGCGTAAATTTTATGTAATTTAATTTCATGATCATTATTAATAATAATAATAAAATGGAGCGCCCTATCGGCGTTTGATGAATTTATATATTATTAATAATAATAATAATTGTAATAATTTTTATCGACGTCGTTTTATTTGATTTTTTCCTCCCTCCTTCTTCCCGTTCCGTTCGCTTACTTTTGTCTTTTTACCATTCGTTTTTTTTTTCTTTGTGGGGTTTTTATTGTTGTTTGTTAGGTTGTTAGGTCGTTAATAAAGACATTAAAAATATAATTTGTTGAAATGATTTAGTTGGTAGATTTGCAACATACAAAAAAAAAAAAATAAATAAGTTTTTTGTTAGAATCGATTACGTGATGGATTAAATTTAAAAAGATGCGGAAAAAAAATACGTTTTAAATCTTTTTTTTGTTTTTTTTTTTTTTTGTTTTTCCAGGTACGTTTAAAATTTTTTTTTTTTAAATATAGTTTTTTTCTTTTCATCGAGCAATAAAGAAAAAATAAAAGAAGTAACTTCTTGGCTTCCATAACGTTTTTTTTTTTAAAAAAAAAAGAAGTGTTAAATTTAAGAAAGTAACAAACGCGCAATGCGGGTTTTATCTTTTTTTTTTTCTTTTACACTTTTATACAACTTTTAAAAAAGTTTAAGCCCAAATTTAAAAAAAAAAAAAATATAAATTTTATTAAAAAAATATTTAAACTGGAAGATAAAAAAACCCGGAAACGTTTACTGGAAAAACAATACGAAAAAAAAAAAACATTTTTTTTTTTCCAAATATTTATTTGAAATTAATAATTTTTAACTTGATACGTACGATTAATAAAACTACGTGGCATTAACTAATTTAAAAAAAAAAAATTTTTTTTTTGGAAATTTATCGGGTGCCAGAAAAAAAAACTTAAAAATAACTTGTCAGAGAGAGATAGAGAGATAGAGAGGAAAAGAAAAAAATTTTCTTTAATTAAAAAAATTGATTAGATTTTTTATACGAAGGAATCATTTGGTGTGTGGTCGTGGTTTTAGAATGCGAAAGGAACTACTTTTTTTTTTTTTTTTGTTATTTCGAGATACATCGATTCGTATTTAAGATTAAAATTGTATGCGATTGTTATCCAACGTTATCCAGGTAGTAAGAAAAAAAAGCAAGAAATTCAGGTTCGTGTAACTAACAGAGTGTTACCCCTCGAATGTGATTAAACAATTTCCCCTCTCCCTCGTTTATAACACACAAACAATTATTATTATTATTACAATCATCATCATCATTGTAAAATAAAAATTTTTAATTTGACGCTTTGTCTTTGTCGCCACGATTGTTTATTAAATAAAATTTCGTATTTCGTTTCAATAAAAACAAAATTTAAAATTTGCCGCTACTGCCACGAAAATTTTGTAAATTTTACCGCCACTGTGCTTTGATTGTTGCACCTTAAACGTATAACCTTATGTAAAACAAGTTTTAGTTTCATGTTTTTCTTTTACCACTTACTAAAAATTATGGTATTATCCGATAAAACAAAAAGGGATAAAACGTGCGTGTGCGTGTGTGTAAAAGAAAGAGAGAAAAAAAGGGAAAGAGAGAGAGGGACGAAAAAGAAGATGGAATGCGAACCTTATTCGTGTGGTCAAAATCACGTCGTAAATTTTTTTTTCTTTTTTCTGTTTTTTTTCGGTATCATTATCCGAAATAAAATAAAAAAAATTAAACCTGAAACCGATAAAAACATTTTTCATTCATTCATAAATTTCTCCCCTCCCTTCCCTCCCCACGTCCCTCCCTCTTTCCACCCGTCCTCCTCCTACTCTTCTTCTTCTTTTACGATTTGCCGATTTTTCGGTCAAAATTTTTACAAACGGATTAAAAACAAAATACGAAAGAGTAAATAAATAATATGAGCCACTGGAATTTTATTGTTACCAAAATAAAACTAGAAAGAGAGAGAGAGAGCGAGAGAGTGTGAGAGAAATAGAGATTATTTTGAAGCAGAAGAAAAAAAAAATAAGCTAAAATAAAAAACTTCGTACATCATCAAATACTTCGATTCGCGGTTGGGTTTCCCGAAAAAAAAAGGAAGTTTCGCGTGGTGCCGAACAGACATCCTGCTGGAATTTTCTTTTTTTTTCCATGTTGTTGTTGTTCTTTTTTTTTCCAGCAAAAATTTTTAACTCTTCATTAGTTTTCGATTTTTTATTTTTTTTTTTTTAATTTTTCTCCAGCAAAATTACGGATCTTTAATAATTTTTTTTTTTGTTTCTTAAAACTATTTTTAATCGTTTACCCGTCGCATCTTGATTTGAATTAAGTTTGAAAATTTTCTAACTTATTATTATTATTAAAAATTTCTTTTGTTCGGGTTGAAGGTTAAATTGTTGTTACTTCGATTATACAAATTGTGATTATTAATAATAATAAAAAAATGGCGGAATTCGGAAAAGGTACCGATTGGCGGGAGCACTTTTAATCGTGTCGGTATTTTAATAAAATGGAGAGCAATTATTTTAATCCGAAAAAAAAAAAATTTCCCGGGTAATAATAATAATAATAATAATGATGATGAGGATTATGGTGATGGTGATGATGATAATCGGCCTTGTCAATTTATTACAATAACAATAAGAACAAGTTTTTTTTTTTTAAAAAATTTAATCCGATCCGGTTATATTATTAACAACATTTTCGCTCAAAATTAAAGTTTTATTATTAATAATAATTATAATAATATTAATAATCAAGTTAATAATCAAGTTAATAATAATTTAATAATATTTATTACAAAAAAATTCATTCATTTCCGGTTTTACTGAAGTAAAAAAATTTTTTTTTTTTTTGAAAAATAAAAAATTAGGAATGAATTTTTTGTTTTTGTTTTTTTTTTAAATCAGATAAAAAAAGAAAAATTACTAATTTTTAGCATTAAAAAAAAAAACGAAAAACGAAAGGGAAATTTTTTTTTGTTTGTTCGTTTGGTTGTTTGTTTGTTTTGTACGATTTATATTAGTAAAAAAAAAAAAAAATTAAAAACGACGACACAAAAGAAAAATGTAAAAATTTTCCAATTTTCCACGACTTCTCGTCACTTCCGCCTCCCCCCCGTCTCCTTCCTACCTTTCTCTCTTCCAAGTTATTATTATTTTTTTTTACCACCCTATTCGTTTGTACCCCGCCTTTCTCTTCCCTTCGACCGGCGACGCCCCCCCTCTTCCCGCCTTTTTTTAACACGAAAAAAAAAAACAAAAGAGAAATAAAATAATAATGAAAATATCGAATTCCTTAATTTCTTTTCATGTTTTTTTTTCCTCCCTCATCCGATCTCGAATTTCTACTTTTTCTACCCCTTCCCCCCTGAAATTCTCCTCAAAATGAAAAAAAAAAAAAAAAAACAAGAAAATATATACGGAAGAGTAATTAAAAATGGGGAGGGCAAGGAGGCGCACGGAAAAGGAAAAAGTTTTTTTTTTTTTCTGGAAAACAAAAAATTTTTAGAGCGTAAATAATAGAATGTTGGTAATGGTGTTAGGGGTAGCGGTAGCGGTGGTGGGGTTGGAGGTCGATATAAAATGTGCAAGAAAATCACTAAAAATGAAAATTTGCCATTACCCAAGTAAAATTTTCCAATTTTTCAAAAAGAAAAAAATTTACAGTAATTTTCTCAAATATCGGGTTTTTCAGTCGGTTCAGTTTTTTTCGTTTTCCTTTCCCCCCCCCT